GGAGGCTGAGGCAGGAGGATCGTTGTGAGTTTGAGACCAGCCTGGGCTACAAAGTGACCTAGAAGCCACCCTGAACTGCATAGCGAGACCCTGTCTGAAAAAGCAAAAAATAAATAAATAATAAAAAAAAACATAAACATGACATTTTTGTGCAATCTGCATATCTGTAGAATAACTTCCTACCTATTAAATGGCTAAGTAAATGATATACAAACTGCCCTCCAAAAATCTGTAGTAATTTATACTTCCACTATACTTCCTACACAGTTCTATTTCCAATTTTTGTCACTTTTACAATAAAATACAAAGTCCCCCCTTATCTGTAGTTTTGTTTGCCAAGGCTTCAGTTACCAAAGGTAACTGTGACCTAAAAATATTCAATGGAAAATTCCAGAAAGAAGAAATTTGTAAGTTTTAAGTTGTGATTCTGGGCTAGGGGTGTAGCTCAGTGGTATAGCACCTGCCTGGAAAGCATGAGATCCTGAGTTCGAGTCCCGGTACCAAAAAAAAAAAAAAAGTTGTGAATCATTCTGAGCAGTGTGATAAAATCTTGCACTGTCCAGCTCTATGAATCCTCCCTTTATTTGGTGCATCCCTGCTATCGACACTACCCTGCTGCTAGTCATTCAGTTATCAGATTCTGTCTTGATATCACAGTGGCTATGTTTAACCCCTACACAGAGAGGCCTGATGCTGCGTCACAGTATCTATACCATTCTCCTCGCTTCACCTCATTGTGTAGGCACTGGATCATCTCACATCATCACAAGAAAGGTGAGCACAGTACTATACCTTGAGAGAGATGACATTCCCCTAATTTATTATAGTATATTAGTACAATTGCTCCATTTTATGATTATTGTTAATCATCTACTGTGACTAATTTATAAATTAGGGGATATAGTTCAGTGGCATAAGCATCTGCCTCACAAACACAAGGTCCTGAGTTCGATTCCCAGTACTAATTTATAAGTTAGAAGTTGCCATAGATGTGTGTATAGAAAAAAACAGTATGAATAGGGTTTGGTACCACCTGTAGTTTCAGGCATCCATGAGGAGAACTGCAATATATCCCCTGAGGATAAGGCGGAACTACTGTATCAGTCATTTGTATTTTTTCTTTTCTCTTCTTTTTTTTTTTGAGACAATGTCTCACTATGCAGTTCAGGTTTGCCTTGAGCTCACCTTGTAGCCCAGGGCTGGCCTCAAACTCACAACAATCCTCCTGCCTCAGCCTCCCGAGTGCTGGGATTACAGGCATGTGCCACCACACCCGGCTTACTTGAATTTTTTTCTGATTTGCTTATCTGTGTATTCTGCTCATTTTTCTACTGAGTTTCATATTTTTCTAATTGATCATTACAAGTATTTTCATAAGCTTAGATGCCTTTAGACATGGCTTCTGGAAGATGATTTGTATAATTTTGTAGGTCCTACAGATTTTTGTTTTTGTTTTTTTGACACAGGGTCTCATTATGTAGTTGAGGCTGGTCTTGAATTTACAATAACCCAGGCTGGCCTCTGAGATCAGACGGGATCGGGTGTGTTCAGAGCGCTTTAGCCAGAGACAAGCTGGCCTCAAACTCCCGGTGATCCTCCTATCTCAGCCTCCCAAATGCTGGGATTATAGGCATTCACCACTATGCCCAGCAGATTTTAAATTATATAGTCAATATCAATAAGTAATATAACAACCATGGTTAATTTCCTACAACTTTGTCTGTAACTCTGTTTTGTTTGTATTATTCTTATGCTATTTGGTAAATGGATGTCTGTCTATTAATATGTTTTGCTTCTTTTATTTTTTAAAATAAAAAAAATGAATTATACAGTCAAAAGCACTCACCTTTTTCTTTCTAATTTCTGGATTCTGTGACAAATTTAGAAATGCTTTTTTTAAAAATTTTTTTGGTTTTTTTTGAGACAGGGTCTCACTATGCAGTTCAAACTGGCCTTGAGCTCACTTCGTAGCCTAGGCTGGCCTTGAACTCACAATGATCCTCCTGCCTCAGCCTCCCAAGTACGGGGATTACAGGCATGCGCCACCACCCCCGGCTAGAAACGCTTTTAGTACACCAAGATTGAAGGTACATGCAATGATGCTTTCTTTCAGCACTATTATTATATAATTCTTTTAACAAGACACAGCACTCAGGAGGCTGAGGCAGGAGTATGCCCACCCAGACACCCCAAAAAATTTGAACATTTAAAGTTTCATCCATTTGGAATACATTTTGATGATCAAAATGAATTTCATTATTTTTTCCTCAATTACTAGGAGGCTGCTCATCACCTGCTCATCCATCCTTTCATAGCTGATGTAAAATACTTCTTTGACTACATGGTAACTCCCTATACACATCTGGGTTTGATTCTGAATTGTATTACATTCTCTGCCTATAAGTTTCTATTCAATTCCACACTAATTCAATTACTGTTATGACTGAGATCCAAAATATACTCTAAAAGGTTGGTTGTGTTAAAAGCTTGATTGCTTTGGGAAGTGACTGGATCCTGAAGGTTCTAATTTCATCAGTGGGTTAATCCACAGATGAAGGAACTACGTCATGGAGGTTGACTGTGAGGATTACATATGTCTGGTCCCCCGGCCCCTCCTCTCTAACTCAGTGCCTTTGTTTCCGATTCTCAGCTGCCATGAGGTGACCAGCTTTGCTCCACTAGCCTCTTTCTCTATGATATTCTGTCTCATCTCAGGCCCACAGCAAAGGGGCCAGCTGACCATGGACCGAAACCTCTGCAGTGATGAGCCGAAATAAACCTTTCCCCATTTAAGCTGATTTCCTCAGTTATTCTGTCACATCAATGAAAAGCTCACACAGTTATCATACTGTTATGTAATATCTTGTCCTGCTGAAGAGCTAATTCTCATTATTACCTTTAATTTTTAGAATTTTCAGGCTAGTGTCATTTATTTACTTCTTCCAATGGAATTTTAAAATCATTTTGTCTAGCTGAAAAAAAAAATGCCCCATGATTCTGCCATTGGGACACCACTTTTTACTTTTCATTCCATCTACTGCATGCTTATTTCCGTATCTGTACATACAGTATTATATTCTGCTTTCTCCAGTTCTCTGATTTTTTAGAAAAAAGCATTCAAGGGGCTGGGGATTTAGCTCAGCGGCACAGCACCTGCCTGGCAAGTGCAAAGTCGTGAGTTCGATTCCCGGTACCAGAAAAAAAAAAAAAAAAAAGCATTCAATTATTAGGTTACTGGATGCAAGAACTATTGCATCCTTATTCCAGAACAAATAATCATTACAGTCAGTACTGAAATTTACGTATTTCAGCTTTTGTCACTAATAATTTTTTGTCAAAAGTCAGATTCCTTGAAAAAGGGAATACATTCCTCTCAGCGTTTGAAGGCTCTTAAAGAGACTGTGCAATGAAAGCTACACTTTCAGTTAAGTTTGTTGTTCAGCCCCCGGGGAGTCCTATCCTATTCTAACTACTCAGAAAAGTCTCTTAACGACAAGGAGCTTAAAAACAGTAATAATAACAATAATATTAAAAAATAATATTTGGGTTGTGCTGTACAACCATTCACTCGCTTTCACTTCAGTAAGCTTAAAAGCTAACTCCTATTTTCCCAGAAGAGAGATGAAAAGACCAAGAGCGGCAGCAATGACAGACAAGGGTCTGAGACCTTATGAGTCCTTGTCCAACGTGCTTTCATATTCAGGAAGACGACTACGAATCCACTGTCAGGCGTTAGAGATTCGAGCCCGGGCTGAGGTCTGGGATCTCTGCTTATTTACGAGCCCTCTGTAGACTTTACCCAAGCGGACCTCGGATTTTTCTGAAAACTGGCCCAGACGTCTCCAGGGTACTTTGGCTAAGACGTCATTAGACCCCAGGACACCCCGACGCCCCTGTCGATCCATTACACTGTAGCTCTGCTCACCTGAGGGCCGGTGACCACCATCTTCACCTGACGTCTCCCAGCATCCTGCGGCCAGGTATCCAAGGCCCCTTAGCAACTGTGGAGGAACTCTGGCGGTCTGAGAAGGCGTGGTCCCGGACGGGGCGTTACCTCCGCCAACGACGTGATGACGAAAAAACAGCCGCCGCCAATTGCCGCAGGTGTCAGAGACTTGTGGGTAGGGGGCGGGGCTGACTTTGGACTGTACCATTGCTATGGTTGGGGGTAAATCTAAACAGAGTGAAGACTGTTTTTGGCAAACAGAAGCCCACCTTACTCTATTATTTAGTAGCAGCTATCATTAGAAGCTAACAAGGATGGTAAGTACCTAGAGCCCAAAGTTTTCCCCCCGCCGTGGGGGCGGAAAATAATGAAGGATTCCCAGGGCGGGCACGGAGTGGAACGCCCAGCCTCGCGCCCCGCCCCCCAGGGCGCAGGCGCAGAAGGTCGGGGCGGGGATGCGGGCGGTGTATAAATACTTCGTTAGGTCGCGTTTGAGGACTGATAGGAATAGTAGTTTGGCGGAGGGAAACTTAGAAAGACTTCCCGGGTGGGCAGGTGAATGGTGAGAATGGTAACCCGAGGATGTTCTTTCTCTTGTGTTACCACCACATCTTTTTAGGGCCAGAATGTCGGGTTGAGTGTCAAGGATATGAGAGTGAGCTACGGCCCTCTATGCGTCTGCAGGTGGCGAGTTAGATCTTGGTCAACTCCTGCCAAAATGTACAAATATAATCTGTCTCGAGAAGTTGTGAGGGCCCCGAGCTGGTCAGAAAGGCACCCTCATTGACTAGAGATCTGAAAAAAGTGTGGTAATGTTTAAGACAAGGGCTGGGGGCGGGCGCTGCGGGTAGAAGGGACTACTTGTGCAAAAGAGCCATCACGACGTACGGGTTATCCTGCCATCACCGTGAAAATGGGAAGCTGGACGCCTGCAGCCGCAAACAGGCGACCCTTCTCCCCAGGGGAGCGCTCACTGCCTGCCCAGAGAGGGCTGTGGTTTTCTGTAAAACCCTGCGGCAGTCTCAAGGCTCAAAGAATTGAATGCAGAGACATCTTAACAGTTTTGATTTACTTTTAGGTTTGTCTTCAACTTGTACAGAGTAGTCGTTGAGGATATTAAACGCACAACTTGTCTTTTCACAACCACTGTCGCGGCAAATGGAAAAAGAGGATGACTGAAAAGAATTTCTCCCCAGTACGCAGGCTCAAACCCAAGGCATCCTGAGCTCAGAAAAGTTCTCTTGTGAGGATGCTGCATTTTTGTGCAAAGTTGGGTGACAGTGCCCTGCAGTCGGGAATAAACACGGAAATGGTGTAGAGGTGGGACAGGGCTCCAGCTGCTTCTGCTTGTTGTTCAGTCAGTGTTTGCTAGAAGACCAAAGGAGCACCTGTCCCGAGCGCTTCTCTCGCTGAGGCTGTAGAAGAACAGGTTTTAGAGTCAGATGCCAGTAAGGTGAATTCCTGGCTGGGGCTGGTACCAGCTAGATGATCTTGGGCAAGTTGCTTAATCTTCCCAAGTGAATGTTTCCTATTTGTGAAGTGAGGTTAATAATTTCTAAATGCTGGCTTGTAATAAGGATTGTAGATAATGCATATAAAATTTATAGTGTGTTCAGTAAACACAGGTGTAGCATGATCAATTTACTACCATAGTTTTTCTTGATTTTTAATTTTTTTTTTTTTCAAGACAGGGTCTCACTTTGTAGTGCATGCTGGCCTTGAGCTCACTATGTAGCCCAGTCTGGCCGCAGATTTACAGTGACCCTCCTGCATCAGCCTCCTAAGTGCTGGGATGATAGGCATGCACCAGCATGCCTGGCTTCATTTTTATTTTCTATCCAGGTTAAAACAATGTGATTTTACAATCTTAAAATGGAACCATTGCATGTTTTACAACCCACAGCTGATAGCATGCTTTTGGCAGTTCCATCATTTTTCTGACAATTACACAGTTGGTTTTTGCTTTGGGGAATTGTAAGAATTTTGTCTTCAGGTTCCACATATTTGGCAATTAACAAGTGCTATTAAGATGGAAATCAGAGTTTCTTTCATTGTTCTCAGCACATGTCAAAGTCTAACATTAGTTCTTACTGACTCATTTTTGATCTCCAATAAGTCAATGTCACCGATGCTTTTTTTTTCCCCCATAGTTTCCCAGCCTCTTTCCTCTAAGTCCTGGGGAAGGGGAGAAGGGGGTCAAAAACTGAAATAAAGAAGTTGGACTGAGTTAAGTGGAAAAGGGAATAAAATTGCCAGCACACACCGTTCCTAAGAAAGTTCTTCCGCTTGTCTCCAAAGGAAAAAGCTGATAAGCAGGCTATGCTGAAGAATGTACCATGGGTCTATGGAAGAAACAAAAAACTGCTTTTCCACAGAAATAAAGCAGCATAATCCGTCTCACAGGAGCAGAGCATCCTTGATTCATGCAGTGTTACAAGCTCATATTTTGTCCATTCAGAATTGCATTTAGAAGGGATTAAGCTTGAACATGTGGGGGCTGGGGATTTAGCTCAG